GATAATAACCAGAGTATACGATCGAATGTGGTGTCATTCGGTTTCGATTGCTTTACAGTTGCCCTTTGTTGCAAGGGATTCCTTTAACCTGTACTCTACAAATATTGACAATACTTGTGCTTACAGTTATACAATATTGAACTTCTCTCTCTCTCTCTCTCTCTCTCGAAAATTGTCCCCACTGTATTAGTTTCTCGATCCGTTTACTTCAAATCAAAATTTCCCGACCATTTCGACAAAAAATTTCTTTTTAATTTCGTTTATTGGCTTTTTTTAAAAATCTAAATTGGAAACTGATTTTATGATTATTAGGAAACAAGAGATTAAGTTCCAAAACAGAGGTATTGAATTGAAAAGGCAAGAGTGAACAAGGAAGACGTAAGATCCTAACAAGGTGCACGAATCAGTCATTTGGCGCGCACAGCATTTAGCTTGTTAAATACTACCAAGCGCGACGACTCAAACAGAAACCTTCAGGCAACACGAAACGTCGCGCAGACCTCGAGAGTTAAATTGTATAGTATTTGCTTCTAGTAATTATCCATGCCTTGCACCAATGTACTTCATCCCTCCCTCCCCCCTCCGCATCCAACCATTGATCTAGTTCACTAATTACATACAAGTAATCAGGTCCTCTGGTCTCGTACATCCGCAGGCAAATTTAATTTTATATCGTTATAGTCGGTCAAGTAATTAGGACATTGTAAAGCAATAGAATTAATGTGTGTTAAGGTTTCTAAATATAGATATAGTTAATTCAATCTAGATTTTCGATTTTTTAGATTCAACCAATACCTATGTTACATTCGACAATATTATATTTATTTTATTTCCTTTATTTCTTTTCTCTATTTATTCTCTAAATTTGAATTAGTAAAAATGTTTACTAATTTAAATTAGTGACTCACTTTTTGCTTCTGAATTGGTAAAATTTTACTAATTGTTAGTAAAAGTTACTAATAATTAGTAAAATTTTACTAATTCAGAAGCAAAAAGTGAGTCACTAATTCAAATTAGTAAACATTTTTACTAATTCAGATTTAGAGAGTACCATTTTTATGTAACATGTGAGAGAAACATTTTATTTTTCTTCTTGCATCTAGTCTTTATCATTTTCTCGATAAAGACTTATAATATATATATATATATAAAGTCATGAGAAAATCAAATAAAGTTAACAAAATGTTTTTCTCCAATTTTACATATGTATACATATCTTAAGCCTAAAAATCAACAGTAGTTGCCTAATTTTGATAAGTTTCAAAAAGTTTCCCAAAGGTTTAAAACTCCCGACCCTTATGTACTATTAGATAAAATATCTAAAAGGATCCGTAACGTGTGCAAGAGGGCAATGTACGAATGTTTGAACCATACTTTTCTTTTTTTTTATTATATGTAAATTAATATTTGTTAATTGTTAATTGATAAATAAACATTTATTAATTATCTACCTATATTACAAAAAGATATCGCCGCCAACGCCGCCGCCGCTGTTCCAAGACTCTGAATATAGCCGCAAGTCAAGAGAAGGGGGGGAGAAGAGAAGGGAGAGGGGGGGGACTTGCGGCTATATTCAGAGTCTTGAAACGATCTTAACCATTAAATTTAGGGTGGGGGGAGGGGAAAAGGAGGGGAAGAGAGGAGGGGGGATGGGGGTTGGCGCGCGAAGCCGCTGTTCCAAGACTCTGAATATAGCCGCAAGTCAAGAGAAGGGGGGGTAGAAGAGAAGGGAGAGGGGGGACTTGCGGCTATATTCAGAGTCTTGAAACGAACATAACCTTTAAATTTAGGGTGGTGGTGGGGAAAAGGAGGGGAAGAGAGGAGGGGGGATGGGGGTTGGCGCGCGAAGCGCGCAGGGGGCATAGCCCCCTAGTAAATTAATAAATAGATATTTAACAATGATAAAATAAGAAATGCGAAATATAAAATTTTACTTTTACCATAATTTATAATAATTAGTTTTATTAAATAAAAAATTGTTATAGAAATTGTTAAAAGTAAAATCTTTCCTTTTCTTTAATATATTTTTTTTTTATAAATTCGAGTTCCCAAAAATGGGCCTGATAACATTATCTTTATCTAAGAAGTGGAGTGTGAATCATTCTCTTTAAAAACCAAGGGAACTACCATTAGAATCAATAATCAAGTACAAAAAAAATTCATTTCTAAAAAAAAACACAAGTATAAAAAAAATATTCTTTAAAAAAGTATCCAGTATTATAATTGAGTCGACGGAAAGTAAAACCACACATAAAATTCTGACTCCCATTGAATTAACATGGCCGTCAGAATTTTTTATGTGGTTTTACTTTCCGGCGACTCAATTGCTACAAAATCTCAATTTTAAAGAATTTCATTTATAAAATATTTTCAAATATTAATATAATGTAAAAAATATTAATATAAATATTAATATAAAAAAGAATATATTCAAGGAAAGAAAAAGCTGATATTCAACATCACACTGTAAAACAACAATCAACAAAAAAAAGAGAGTGAAATAATAATAAAATTTATTTGATTATCATTTCTTTTCTATTTCTATTTCTTTTCCCTGATAGTATTGGTACAATTAAAGTTGGACCCATACTGTCAACATCACATTTTGGATAGGACCTTTTACGAATTTTGCCGATTCAATTTTAATTGTATCGACAAAATTTAATCCTTATAATTCTAATTTCCTTATTTTTCTAAAAGAAGATTCAAATTCAAAACTATTTCCAAGTTAGAGGACAATGCATTCCTGACTTAAAACAATTAATTTAAATTCTTTGCTTTATGCATCTTAGGATGTAACACCTATTTACATTCTGTCATGTCTCTTTAACCAAAATACTATGTGATATTAAGTTTTTTTTTTAATTATTCAAGGCCGATAATTCGGATGATAAAAAAAAATTGTTTTACTTTATATCGAGTCTAAATTTATTGTTGATGTAAATAAAATAGTTGCTATTTACGTACAACGATGCATCGAAAACAAATTATAACCAAAATTCAGATGGTTATTAAAAAAAAAATTTTTTTGTTTTATATCGAGTCTAGTGATTAGTTTTAAGTTTACAATTCGAGTTTAGGAGTTGTCCGATATTACTCAGGTATTTCCCCTATATTGACAAATATAATATAATATAAAATTATATTAATATTTGTCGATAGTAATAATAATAATAATAACGTTCAAAAGCCGAAAGGTATATGAACTATGAATAATAATAATAATGTTTGTGAACTTATAATGTTGACTTATAATTCGAATTTAAAATATTTTAATATTGTTTTTATATAAGTTAGGCAATAAGAAAAAATATTAACACTTTTTGAAAAAAAAATCCGTTATCTAATTTTTGTTTGTTTCCATAAAGAATAGAAATTTTTCTTTGTATAATTATACTAAGCTATATCAAACAATTTTTTAAATATTTTTATTTATTTAAAAAACGAATTATTCGTTACTTAATTAGTTTTTTTTTGTAATTAATTAATTCTAGTAATTTGCTATTTTCTATATTAAATTTTTCAACACAGTTATTAAAAATTACTTGAACATTTCTGTTCCTAATTCTAATCTTAGTCTACATTTTGCAATAATTCTAACGCTAAATATAAATTAATAAAATCATTTTATTGAAAAAGTTTCTTTCACTCCTTTAATGGAAAATAAAAAGTAATTAATTTACGACGTAGATTATTATTAAAATATGTGACGTTAAAAATTTATTGACGTTAATATATAACCACGAAAATTGAGAATTGAAAAATGTTTCAATAAAAGAATATCGCGTAAAAAACTGAAATATGCAAAAAAATTGCAAATTGAAAATCACAAAGTGTAAATTATTAAATAGAATTTTTGATAAACGATTTTTGTTTTATGTCACAATTTTTAAAAAAAAACATTCTTCAACACGTAAATGTAATAAAAATGATTAAATTAAAATTATGATCCACAATATGATAGGAATTATTTTTATATTATAAAAATGATGATTGTGAAGGTGGTGGTTTTCTTTATTATCTATAATTATCCTCGCAATTATGTCAATTTTCAAGTTTTTTTTTTTTATAGTTTAAGTGTTAGAATTCTCATTCGCAATCTGCTGTATACATTTTCATGATTAAAATTTTTCCGCAAGCTTGTTTTACGATAAAAAAAATATATATAATAACAGCAGTCCAGTGGCGATAAAAAAATGATTTATGTGTCTAGGCACTCATAGAACTCACTCATGTAATTTATCAGACTTCTTCTAATTTAAAATCATAATTACCGAATATTAAAAAATCTAACTGAATTATTTATTTTTTTTAAAAAATTAAAACTCAAGTTATTAGTAAAATCTTCTATTATATTAAGTTAACAAATTTCCAGAAACGACACCGACCCCGTGACCTCGACACCGTCCTTGGAAAATCTATTTTCACTTATTTTCAAATAAATCAAAATACTTCGCCATATGCTTTTAGAAAATCTTACATACTTTTTTTTTGTAAAATGTTTTTTTAATTTTAACCAGAAAAAGGGTTATTTTGCATTTTCATCCCAAATAAAGGGTTATTTTGCAATTTTTTACGAATTTTTGGATATATACCTTTAAAATTACTCTATTTTTAAAAAGTTACTTATAAACAATTTTTTTCAATTTTTTATGGTTTTTTTTTAATTATTTATTGTTGTTTTTTAAATTTTTAGTTAGGAACCTATAATATTGTGCCTAATTTTAAGTGTCATTGAAATCAATTGTTTTTAACTTAATAATTTTAACATTTCTTATTTTAAAACGAAACATCTTCTATTATATTAAGTTAACAAATTTTCAAAAAACGACACCGACACCGTTTTTGTTTCGAAGGAACTCTAATTGTAATGAAATCGTTTTACGATTTCTAAATATATAAGGCAATTGTCAAGAGAACGATTTGTAATGCGAGGGTACCTTTTAGAGATTGCATATTATACTATATATATATATAAAGGAGTGTGTTATAATACTCACCGATGGTTGTGAGAACAGTGAGAGAATAGAGGAAAGCTTTGGCAAAGTTCCACTCGTATTCCGGAACTCGTCGCTCGGTGACTCCATCATTGTTGGAGATTTTAGTGGGAGTCCCAGAGCTTTGCGATGCTATCATTTCCTCGGTGATCCTCTTCACCAGCTGATCCTGAAAACGGGATATCTCTTGCGCCGCTAGCCTCGTCCAATTCTCTCGATAGAGAATGTTCAAATTCACTGTTATTTCCCATATGTTCTCAACAGTACGCTCTCGCGCTTCAGTATTTATCTAGAAAGAATAACAAGAAGGATCAATCAAAATTCTCTAATTGACGATTTTCAACTTGTTTTCTTTTTTTTTTTTTTCTTTTTGTATTGTACATTTCACGCTATTTCAATTAATCGAGAAAAGTTTGTGTGTCTGGTGTTTTGTATAAAAACAGTGGAACTATCGATATATATATATATATATATATATTTGAGATTTAACATTGAAAAGTCTATTGATACTATAAGCGGATTAGTTAAAGTATTATTGCTCTATCTGCGATCAAATTGCATATGCCTTTTCAAAAAAAAAACAATAAAATATAAAATGATACATTTTTTTGTTCAACAATAACTTTTCTCTATTTAGGGTTTGTTGTCTATTTAAAAAAAAAAAACATTAAATAAAATAATATTATATTTCCAATGTCTACATCAGCATTATTGAAGTGAAAAGGAATTATAATTTAAAATAAATCAGATAAATTGGATAGTTATAAAAAAATTTTTTTTTTCTTTTTATATCGAGTCTTTTTTAATTTGACCTTGAAAAACCTTGACTTGATCTTGAATGATCTGGAAATAACCATGCATGCTCTTCATTTGACCTTGAATATCATTGACATAAACTTCAAATGACCTTGACTTAAAGGTCATATCAAGGACATTAATTGTAGTTCAAGTAAATGACATTCAAGGTCATTTGAAGGTCATATAAAAAGAAATTTAAGGTCATTTTAAGGTTGAGTCAACGTTATTTAAAGGTCATATTAAGGTTACTCAAGGTAGTTTAAAGGTCAGGTGAAGGTCAAGACAAGGTCATTTAAAGATCAGGTCACTCAAGATCGTTTGAAGGTCAGATCAAAGACATTCAAGGTCATTTGAAGGTCAGATCAAGGTCATTCAATGTCAAGTCAACGACATTCAAGGTCATTTGATGGTTATTCAAGGTCAAGTCAATGTCATTTAATTTCATTGGAAGTTAAAGTTAAAATTAAGTCAAATTCGTATTGAATTTCGAACCACCTTTAAACCACTTTTCGTCATAAAAAACTTTCCAAAAACAAGTTGTAAATTCAGATGTTCATTACATGAACATTTTGCTTCCTCTTTACGATCAGCAAAAAAATTTGCTTCCTCGTGGAGAAAGCAAAGTTTTATTGCTAAAATGTGAATTTCTGATTTTTTAACTTTCATTAATTCTTTAAAATTAAATTCGCGAGATAATCGTTCGGGAATACCGCCAATAAAATAGGGAAAAAGTTTCGAACAAAAAAAGTATGGCGCACTTTTTGATTGGTCCAGCGGATGCTGAGCTACACTCAAAAATAATTTAGAAAAATTTTCAAAAAATTAAATTCCTTAGATAATCTTTCGGGAATACTGCTATAGTGATTAGAAGAAAGTTTCGAACAAAAAATGTATGGCGCACTTTTTGATTGGTCCAGCTGATGCTGAGCTAAACTAGAAAACAAATTCGGAAAAATTTTCGAAAAACTTAATTCGCGAGATAATCGTTCGGGAATACCTCCAATAAAATAGGGAAAAAGTTTCGAACAAAAAATGTATGGCGCACTTTTTGATTGGTCCAGCGGATGCTGAGCTACACTCACTAAAACTGGGGAAAAATTTTCGAAAAAAAAAATTCGCCAGATAATGACTCGGGAATAATGCCAAAAAATTGAGCAAAAAGTCTCGAACAAAAAATGTATGGCGCACTTTTTGATTGGTCCAGCGGATGCTGAGCTACACTCACTAAAACTGGGAAAAAAATTTGGAAAAAAAAAATTTGCCAGATAATGACTCAAGAATAATGCCAAAAAATTGAGCAAAAAGTCTCGAACAAAAAATGTATGGCGCACTTTTTGATTGGTCCAGCGGATGCTGAGCTACACTAACTAAAACTGGGAAAAAAATTTCGAAAAAAAAAATTTGCGAGATAATTGATCGGGAATACCGCCAAAGTCTTAACCCGGGAGTCTCGAACAAAAAATGTATGGCGCACTTCTTGATTGGTCCAGCGGATGCTGCGCTACACTCTGATAAATTTTTTTATAAAATTTCGAAAAATTTAATTTGCGAGATAATTGATCGGGAATACCGCCAAAGTCTTAACCCGGGAGTCTCGAACAAAAAATGTATAACGCACTTTTTGATTGGTCCAGCGGATGCTGAGCTACATTCAGATAAATTTTTCAAAAAATTTTCGAAATATTAAATTCGCGAGATAATCGTTCCGGAATACCGCCAAATTCTTTAGCAAAAAAGTAGCGAACGAAAAATGTATGGCGCACTTTTTGATTGGTCCAGCGGATGCTGAGCTACACTCTGATAAATTTTTTTATAAAATTTCGAAAAATTTAATTTGCGAGATAATTGATCGGGAATACCGCCAAAGTCTTAACCCGGGAGTCTCGAACAAAAAATCTATGGCGCACTTTTTGATTGGTCCAGCGGATGCTGAGCTACATTCAGATAAATTTTTTAAAAAATTTTCGAAAAATTAAATTCGCGAGATAATCGTTCCGGAATACCGCCAAATTCTTTAGCAAAAAGTTGCGAATGTAAATGTATGGCGCACTTTTTGATTGGTCCAGCGGATGCTGAGCTAAACTAGAAAACAAATTCGGAAAAATTTTCGAAAAACTTAATTCGCGAGATAATCGTTCGGGAATACCTCCAATAAAATAGGGAAAAAGTTTCGAACAAAAAAAGTATGGCGCACTTTTTGATTGGTCCAGCGGATGCTGAGCTACACTCAAAAATAATTTAGAAAAATTTTCAAAAAATTAAATTCCTTAGATAATCTTTCGGGAATACTGCTATAGTGATTAGAAGAAAGTTTCGAACAAAAAATGTATGGCGCACTTTTTGATTGGTCCAGCTGATGCTGAGCTAAACTAGAAAACAAATTCGGAAAAATTTTCGAAAAACTTAATTCGCGAGATAATCGTTCGGGAATACCTCCAATAAAATAGGGAAAAAGTTTCGAACAAAAAATGTATGGCGCACTTTTTGATTGGTCCAGCGGATGCTGAGCTACACTCACTAAAACTGGGGAAAAATTTTCGAAAAAAAAAATTCGCCAGATAATGACTCGGGAATAATGCCAAAAAATTGAGCAAAAAGTCTCGAACAAAAAATGTATGGCGCACTTTTTGATTGGTCCAGCGGATGCTGAGCTACACTCACTAAAACTGGGAAAAAAATTTGGAAAAAAAAAATTTGCCAGATAATGACTCAAGAATAATGCCAAAAAATTGAGCAAAAAGTCTCGAACAAAAAATGTATGGCGCACTTTTTGATTGGTCCAGCGGATGCTGAGCTACACTAACTAAAACTGGGAAAAAAATTTCGAAAAAAAAAATTTGCGAGATAATTGATCGGGAATACCGCCAAAGTCTTAACCCGGGAGTCTCGAACAAAAAATGTATGGCGCACTTCTTGATTGGTCCAGCGGATGCTGCGCTACACTCTGATAAATTTTTTTATAAAATTTCGAAAAATTTAATTTGCGAGATAATTGATCGGGAATACCGCCAAAGTCTTAACCCGGGAGTCTCGAACAAAAAATGTATAACGCACTTTTTGATTGGTCCAGCGGATGCTGAGCTACATTCAGATAAATTTTTCAAAAAATTTTCGAAATATTAAATTCGCGAGATAATCGTTCCGGAATACCGCCAAATTCTTTAGCAAAAAAGTAGCGAACGAAAAATGTATGGCGCACTTTTTGATTGGTCCAGCGGATGCTGAGCTACACTCTGATAAATTTTTTTATAAAATTTCGAAAAATTTAATTTGCGAGATAATTGATCGGGAATACCGCCAAAGTCTTAACCCGGGAGTCTCGAACAAAAAATCTATGGCGCACTTTTTGATTGGTCCAGCGGATGCTGAGCTACATTCAGATAAATTTTTTAAAAAATTTTCGAAAAATTAAATTCGCGAGATAATCGTTCCGGAATACCGCCAAATTCTTTAGCAAAAAGTTGCGAATGTAAATGTATGGCGCACTTTTTGATTGGTCCAGCGGATGCTGAGCTAAACTAGAAAACAAATTCGGAAAAATTTTCGAAAAACTTAATTCGCGAGATAATCGTTCGGGAATACCTCCAATAAAATAGGGAAAAAGTTTCGAACAAAAAAAGTATGGCGCACTTTTTGATTGGTCCAGCGGATGCTGAGCTACACTCACTAAAACTGGGAAAAAAATTTGGAAAAAAAAAATTTGCCAGATAATGACTCAAGAATAATGCCAAAAAATTGAGCAAAAAGTCTCGAACAAAAAATGTATGGCGCACTTTTTGATTGGTCCAGCGGATGCTGAGCTACACTCACTAAAACTGGGAAAAAAATTTAGAAAAAAAAAATTTGCCAGATAATGACTCAAGAATAATGCCAAAAAATTGAGCAAAAAGTCTCGAACAAAAAATGTATGGCGCACTTTTTGATTGGTCCAGCGGATGCTGAGCTACACTCACTAAAACTGGGAAAAAAATTAGGAAAAAAAAATTTTGCCAGATAATGACTCAAGAATAATGCCAAAAAATTGAGCAAAAAGTCTCGAACAAAAAATGTATGGCGCACTTTTTGATTGGTCCAGCGGATGCTGAGCTGCACTCACTAAAACTGGGAAAAAAATGAGGAAAAAAAAATTTTGCCAGATAATTGATCGGGAATACCGCCAAAGTCTTAACCCGGGAGTCTCGAACAAAAAATGTATGGCGCACTTTTTGATTGGTCCAGCGGATGCTGAGCTACATTCAGATAAATTTTTTAAAAAATTTTCGAAAAATTAAATTCGCGAGATAATCGTTCGGGAATACCGCCAATAAAATAGGGAAAAAGTTTCGAACAAAAAATGTATGGCGCACTTTTTGATTGGTCCAGCGGATGCTGAGCTAAACTAGAAAACAAATTCGGAAAAATTTTCGAAAAACTTAATTCGCGAGATAATCGTTCGGGAATACCTCCAATAAAATAGGGAAAAAGTTTCGAACAAAAAATGTATGGCGCACTTTTTGATTGGTCCAGCGGATGCTGAGCTACATTCAGATAAATTTTTTAAAAAATTTTCGAAAAATTAAATTCGCGAGATAATCGTTCGGGAATACCGCCAATAAAATAGGGAAAAAGTTTCGAACAAAAAATGTATGGCGCACTTTTTGATTGGTCCAGCGGATGCTGAGCTAAACTAGAAAACAAATTCGGAAAAATTTTCGAAAAACTTAATTCGCGAGATAATCGTTCGGGAATACCTCCAATAAAATAGGGAAAAAGTTTCGAACAAAAAATGTATGGCGCACTTTTTGATTGGTCCAGCGGATGCTGAGCTACACTAAAAATCATTTTTGAAAAATTTTTGAAAAACTAAATTCGCGAGATAATCGTTCGGGAATACCGCCAAATTCTTTAGCAAAAAGTAGCGAACAAACAATTCATGGCGCACTTTTTGATTGGTCCAGCGGATGCTGAGCTACACTCAAAAATATTTTGGAAAAATTTTCGAAAAAATAATTTTGCGAGATAATCGATTCGGAATACCGCCAAAAAAATGAGCAAAAAGTCTTGAACAAAAAATGTATGGCGTAGAAAAAAATTGACACCCTGATCCGAGTAGAGGAAGACCCTTTTTACCACCAAAAACGCATCCAAAATCATAAAAAACTTACCAAAAAGTTGTAAATTCAGATGTTCATTACATGAACATTTTGCTTTCTCTTTACGATCAGCAAAAAAATTTGCTTCCTCGTGGAGAAAGCAAAATTTTATTGACAAAATGTGAATTTTTAATTTTTTAACTTTCATTAATTCTTTAAATTTACCTCAAATGAATACTTTATATATATCGATCGATTCGTCTTGACGTATAGAATACGATTTTATTATATATAACCTTAAATTTTTCTATTTAAAAATTTTTTCGATTAAAAAAAAATTTTTGGAAAAAAGACCATAAAATTTTTTTTTTGGAGTATTTTTCAAAATCCTTTGGTCAGATTTGAGATATTAATATGATAAATGAGCCTACCAAATTTTATCTAAATACATTAAAACCTGTTAAAGTTATCTTCTAAACAAAAAAAGGATCCACACACACACACACATACACATACATACATCCGGACAATTGATCAGGATCTCATATAACATGTTTCTATAAAGAAAAAAATTTGTTTCCGCCACTTTGAAAAGTTTTATAAACGAAAGGACTACAAAGCTTCCTCCACGAGGAAGCAAAAAATAATTTTTCTTAGACAGACTATTTTAATGCAATTTCTTGCACAAAATACACCGCAAACTGTAAAAAAAAATTGACAGCCAAAAAAGAGTAGAGGAAGACACCTATTACCACCTAAAAGTCATTCAACCCATAAATCCAAAATTATAAAAAAGTTCCCAAAAAAATTTAATTTTTCTTAGGCAGACGATTTTAATGCAATTTCTGGCACAAAATACACCGCAAAGTGTAGAAAAAAATTGGCAGTCCAATCCGAGTAGAGGAAGACTCCTATTACAATCTTTAAAGCACTTTTCGTCATAAAAACTTTTCCAAAAAAATTTAATTTTTTTAGGCAGATTATTTCATTGCATTTTCTGGCACAAAATACACCGAATAGTGTAGAAAAATATTGACAGTCCGATCCGAGTAGAGGAAGACATTCAAGGTCATTTGAAGTGTATGTCAAGGTCATGCCAAGTTCATTTAAAGGTCAAGTCAAAGACATTCAAGTTTATTTGAAGGTTAAGTTAAGGTCATTTTAGGTCATGTCAAGGACATTTAAGATCATTTGAAGGTTAAGTCAAGGTCATGTCAAGGTCATTTGATGGTCAAGTCATTTATTTTACACTTTTAATTAAGTTTAAATCACAATTCATCTAATTATTCGAATATTAAAACAAAAATTCCCTTTTACATCGAGTCTATATGAATTTTTTTAGATTAATGGTATTTTCAATAAAATAGTAACAGTTACTGTTACTATATTATAAAAATGAATTAATAATAAATTAATTAATTACCTGTTGTAATCGTGCTGTAGTATTTCTTCTTCCATATTGATTACCATTGGCAATGGTTGTTGCAAGTGTTCTTTGATGAATACTATCAACGCCACCTTCAATTGCCAAGAAAATGAAACTTCCTAATAGTGTATATGCAACTAAAAGTGCACAAATTCCAAGGTTTATGATAAAACCTTTAAGGAAGGAATGATGGCTCGCTTTGTCAGGAACGCCTCCAAAGCACAGACATCTTACTTGGCTTTGCTGTGCTTTAGAGGATTCTGAATTGGTTTTATAGGACGACGTGTTGCCGTTGTTAGCGGCCTTCAAGCCCTCGTAAGCTCTATAATGACGTGTACTATCTTTCTCCATTCTTTTAGGGCCCCTTCACCAGTGGCCGCTTTCTCTCTCTTTCTCTCTATTTTTTTTTTATTTTCACTTTTTACATTTGTTGTCAACCAATGACATTTAGAAAAACAGAAAATATCGTTGAATGATGAAAAGAGTTTTACAATTGTCACAATAAATGATAGACATTTATGTATACAAAATGAGAGATGAATCTCTATTATTTTCTTGAATTTTTTTCTTTTTACTTTGTTTACGATTTCTTGATAAATTGCCCACAACACTTTGGATAGTTGTTTGGTTTTTTGTTTTTATTTATTTTTCACGCGAGAGATGTTTATTAGAATGAAAAGCGTAGACGTTTCCGGAACGAGAACATTTTTTTAATTCGTCGAAATTATAAACGGACACTGTTGATTTGTGGTTTTTGGTCTGGATGTAGCTGAGGGAAAAAAATATATATATATATGACTAAAATCGCGTGACTTCACTAGAAAATTGTTAAATATTTATTACTGTTCTCATTCTCTCTTAGCGTAAATATTTGTGGCGGAAAAAAAAGAGATCTCATTGTTAGTATTGCGCTTTATTTTAATCGCTTTTTCATTCTTCGTGCACACTTTTATTTTATTTTTTTTTAATGCCTTCAAAACGAGATGAATTTAAAAGTCGAAGAGACTTGGCTAGGGAGATTTTTCTGAGAGAATTTTAAGAGGATCCAGAACGAGTCACTTAACTCACATTGGACTTAAGGCCAAAGCGGCACTGGATTCTTTTTCCTTTTTGTCGCTTATAACAACCGTGGAGAAGAGTTGGTTATATTAAAAAAAAAAAAAAAAAAGATGAAGGCGTTGGGAAAAGATTTTTCCTTCATCCCGACAAATTTTCTCTCAAGTATTCGTATACACAACACGCCTGGTGTGTAAAGCGAGGTATATATTGGTGGTTATGAATATTCTCCAAACTTCTTATCCTCTCGCGTAGAATCTTGTTTTTCTTGAAGAAGATAATAATATTGAAGTGGTAGTGATGACGATGGTGGGTGGTCAATTACTGAGATCATTTTCATGATTCTTAACAACTCCAATGAGTTGGCAATCAATTGATAATTCATTTTTGCATAGGGGAAAGAAAGAATGAATCTTGATTTTGAAGCCTTATTAAGGTGAAATTGTCAGTCATCTGAAACAAAAAAAAACAAGAAAAAAAAATTTTAGAAATTATATTTTTGTATAAAGTAGAAAATAAAATTAAATATTTTAATAAAGTTATATATATGTATTGCCATTATTGGTGTATTCAAGGTGGTAACTTTGGAACGATATATACACAAAGTAAATTTGCGATCATCGACTCCAGATAATTCAGTCTCTGATACTGTGGTTTATCGACATATATACATATATATATACATATATAATAGTGTTCAACTCGCAGTTTAACCGATAGTTTGTTCTCCAAGTCGGTGCCCCTTCCCCCCCCCTCTCTCTCTCTCCTCATGCCACAAACCGTTTAGCTACGGTGAATGTTTCCATCGATCTTGCAAAACGATAAATTAACGCCAAGTTAACCCCACAAGGATGAATTTCGTTGTCGTTAACGTAGCGCACAATTGTGCCATAGTTTCTCCAAATCTTTGAGCGGATTTCCTTTGGGACATATATATATATATATATATATATATATAATATCGATTTTGATGTCACTTATATTTGAAAGGAAGAAGTGTTTCTTTGACTCTGATTTAAATATATATATATACCTATTCAAGTATACGTATATATAAAACATTTTTTGAGTCAGATTCTTTTTTGTTGAAATTCTCAAGATGAAGGGGTTTTCATCATAAAGTTTTGTTTTTTTTTAAATTTACGAATTTTCAGTTTTTCCTTTTTTTTATACATGTTCAAAATAACTTATTTTTGAAATAAAACTATACCCCTTTTGCAAGTATTAAAATTATTAAAATTTTATCTATTCGTTTCTTGGTTATAGGGGGAATTTGAACTAAGGCCTTGAATTCTGTAAATCTATGCAACTAGAATTTTGAGGTTATGTTTGATCTATGTTCTTGAAACCAATGCACTCAAAATTTTGAGATTATATTCGCGCCCACTTGGAAAGATTCCCCAGAAAGTGCCTCCTGGAGGTTCTATCCGAATTCCGTCAGAATCCCATCGGAAATTCTTTGGAATTCCGTCGGAATTCCATCGGAGTTCCAAAGAATTTCCGATGGGATTTCGACGGAAACTATGGAAACAGTTAGTTATTATGGCAACAGTTACTATGGCAAAAGTTACTATGGAAACAGTTAGTTACTATGGCAAAAGTTATTATGGCAAAAGTTACTATGGAAACAGTTAGTTACTATGGCAACAGTTACTATAGCAAAAGTTACTATGGAAACAGTTAGTTACTATGGCAACAGTTACTATATGGCAAAAGTTATTATGGCAAAAGTTACTATGGAAACAGTTAGTTACTATGGCAACAGTTACTATAGCAAAAGTTACTATGGAAACAGTTAGTTACTATGGCAACAGTTACTATAGCAAAAGTTACTATGGAAACAGTTAGTTACTATGGCAACAGTTACTATATGGCAAAAGTTATTATGGCAAAAGTTACTATGGAAACAGTTAGTTACTATGGCAACAGTTACTATAGCAAAAGTTACTATGGAAACAGTTAGTTACTATGGCAACAGTTACTATATGGCAAAAGTTATTATGGCAAAAGTTACTATGGAAACAGTTAGTTACTATGGCAACAGTTACTATAGCAAAAGTTACTATGGAAACAGTTAGTTACTATGGCAACAGTTACTATAGCAAAAGTTACTATGGAAACAGTTAGTTACTATGGCAACAGTTACTATATGGCAAAAGTTATTATGGCAAAAGTTACTATGGAAACAGTTAGTTACTATGGCAACAGTTACTATAGCAAAAGTTACTATGGAAACAGTTAGTTACTATGGCAACAGTTACTATATGGCAAAAGTTATTATGGCAAAAGTTACTATGGAAACAGTTAGTTACTATGGCAACAGTTACTATAGCAAAAGTTACTATGGAAACAGTTAGTTACTATGGCAACAGTTACTATAGCAAAAGTTACTATGGAAACAGTTAGTTACTATGGCAACAGTTACTATATGGCAAAAGTTATTATGGCAAAAGTTACTATGGAAACAGTTAGTTACTATGGCAACAGTTACTATAGCAAAAGTTACTATGGAAACAGTTAGTTACTATGGCAACAGTTACTATATGGCAAAAGTTATTATGGCAAAAGTTACTATGGAAACAGTTAGTTACTATGGCAACAGTTACTATGGCAAAAGTTACTGTGGCAAAAGTTACTGTGTCAAAAGTTACTGTTGCAAAAGTTATTATGGCAAAAGTTACTATGGAAACAGTTAGTTACTATGGCAAAAGTTATTATGGCAAAAGTTACTATGGAAACAGTTACTATGGAAACAGTTAGTTATTATGGCAAAAGTTACTATGGAAACAATTAGTTACAACAACTATAGAATTTCGACGGAATTACGTTGGAAGTTCCGGCGAAATTCTGATAGAACCTCCAGGGGGCACTTTCCGGGGGAATCTTTCCAAGTGGGGCTCTAAAAATTTTGAAAAAATTAATCAGAATTCCGTCGGAATCCCAAAGGAAATTCTTTGGAACTCTGGTGGAATTCCGACGGAATTACGTTGGATGTTCCGGCGGAATTCTGATAGAACCTCCAGGGGGCACTTTCCGGGGAATCTTTCCAAGTGAGAACCTATTTATAACCTTTATTTTTAAGATTATGTTCATTTTAACCATATTTTTGACATGATTACTACAATCATTGTCAAAAAAATTTTTTTTTAAATTAAAAATACAATCTACAAATGTGAAGGCAAGATTTTCCAGACGATTTCACACTGAATATCTTTCAGGTGCGATAAGTCAATGTCGGGCAAAATTCGGTATATTCTTGCTTAGCCCAAGAGTAAGAGATTAAGGAGCTTCGGTCGAGCAGTAGATTAGAGCCAAGAGTTGAATTACGGTCTTTGTACTTTCGGCTCTTGGTAATGTGGCACTACATATAGATATATATATATATATATAGTTTTCGAGAGAAACAAACGACAAGGGGAGCTACCTTCAGCACCTAGTTTAGACTCAGGTTTACTACGATGAGAGCCTGTAATTACTTCTAATTCATTATTCAAATCTTGCGGTGTTTTAATTCAATATTAAAGTTTCATTTTCCAATTTGGTTATTCACTCTTGATAATTTCATTAATAAAATTCTATCACCCAGAGAAATGATTTATTTAAACCAAATAAAATATATTTGAGTTAAATAAACGTATATTTGTCTCAGAGCCTACTAACTTATTTATTTGGCGTAAATAAAAATTTTATTTGTCAGAAATAAATTTTTCTTTGGCTCAAATAAATTTTTTATTTCAATGAAATAAAATATATTTGCAACAAATATAAATGAGTTAGTAGGCTCGGAGACAAATATATACCATTTCTCTGAGTGTATTTTCTCTTATGCATTATTTAAAACAAAAATAATCGAAATATAATATCGTGTTACGAAATTAAATAATCAAAATTAATAGAGAAAAAAAAAAGTTTTATGAAAATTGATAAAAAGTTTGATAGGAAAAATAATGAATATCGATTGAATTAAAATTCTAGGTAAGTTACATGATTTAGTGAATTCACAGCAAGTCCAGAATATTGCTAGATATATATATATACGTATACTATATATGCATTTTGCATAATATGGAAAGATTATTACGCTAAAGGTTTACGTGATTTCTTGTCGGAATCGTCTTTTAAGAAAATAGGCTATCCCATCTTCTCTCTCTCTCTCTTTCTCTCGTTTTTGCATCTACCATCATCTTGAGTTCTTTCATATATATTGGAAGTCACCCCCCCCCTTCCATCTCTCGTATATTAGCATTTATAACCAGAACTTGGGAGAAGATAACCAGTAAGCAGAGACGAAGAGAAAGACGTGCTTATCATCCACGTCGTTGGAAGGTTTGAGATCAAGGTTCTTTTTTTTTTTGACTGTGACGAAAAGAACTTGTATATATATCGAGTCAAAGAAATGGGTAGAAAATGCAATTTCGTCGTAAGGTTTTTTTTTTTTTTTTTTTTTTCCACCAAACCACCTGTACTCGTCTCAGCGACTTTTAAATTCGTACTATTGTCAGCTCTATTTGCGGAAAAATGTTTATTCAATTTCATTTCACCACCACTGCAAGATATTTATTCGCTCGCTTTCGCCCAAAGACGCACACCATGTTTTTCTCCAGAGAATGAAAAAAAAAAAATCATTTTTTAAAGTCAAGGTGCGAATAGAGGACCCTCTGGAAATATTCTTCTTTTTTTTTTTTTTGCCAAGGAAAAATTTTCTACACGAAAAATTGTCAATTGTGTCAGAATATATACATCTTCTAAACGAAAGTTTGGTTGAAAAAAAAAAAAAAATTAAAAAATGTTTTTCGAGAAAAATTCGAAAAAAAGGGTAATTTCAACGTGTGAATATTGTCAACGTTTAATTAATTGATTGATCAATAAATCAGAAATGAAGAAGTGAACTAGAAATAATGGTTGCACGTTGTGGATACTTCACTATATTTGTAAATATTGCTGTCCCCTAGTAGTCAAAATACGTCATGTATCTTCGTTAATATCTCAATAACTTTGTCAAAACGTTGGTTGAGAGTTAGTTTCTGCTATGAGGAGGAGGGGGGAGGATTTATAATATACACACTCGCGTTTATAGTTTAAATTCCATTTCCATACCACAAATCGGTAGGCAAGATCTCTGATCGAGGTAGATTTATGATGACATGAAGGTTGTTGAAAATTTCATTAAACAAACTCTCGTGTGCTGATATTGATCCTGTTTTGGAGATAGAGAGGAAAGTGGTGATAGGATTGCCACAAATCGTATTCTATAAACCGCAATCCAAAAAAATGATCAATTTCGTATGTCAAAATCAAATTTCCTTAGTATTTTACTAAAATATTATAAGAATAGAGAAAAATTTAAAGTGAAAGTGTATTTTAAGTATATTTTAAGTATGGTAAAAATGTAGTGAAAATGTAGTGAAAGTATTGTGAAAGGGTAGTGAAAGTGTAGTAAAAGTAATAAAAGT